CGGGGGGGGCGAGCCAGGAGAAGCGTCTCCGTGGGGCCCGGGAGGCGGAGGCGCAGAGCCGCCCCACGCGAAGGGCACAGCTGTAGGTCGCCGTGCAGCTGCTGCAGGGAGAGGGCACTAGCGGACGAGCAGGAGCGGAGCAACCGCACGACCGCCTGCAGGTGGCGGGCGCAGTTCCGGGCCCGCAGGAGCTGCTCCCGCTCGCGGTGCAGATGGAGCAACACGGCCCGGAGCCGCTGCAGAGCGAGAGGCATCGGGCCGCTCGCCGATGCGGGCTCCCACGGCTGTCTGTCGGAGTCCGGGCGCGGGACGCTCCCCGCAGCCAGCAGCCCCGACCCTCCGCGAACCCTCTCGCCCAGTTCATTCCCAGCGCCCACGGGATACGCCCAAGACGGGGGTACGTTAGAGAGAGGAGGCAGAAGGCCACCGGAGCGGGGAGCCCGGGCCATGGCACGGCGAGTCCCAAACGAACCTAACGCCCGCCACCTCCCCACATCCCGCGGCGCTCCACACCCGCGGGCGCCGGGACTTACCAGCTTGCAGCCGGAAGTTTCGTGACCTCATTCGCTTTCCGTAGCTGTGGCGTCTGCCCTTAACAAAGATGCCTGTCCATTCACTCTTTCCCGGCCCCTAGCGGGCACCAAATTCTAGCCAGACTTTCACTTTCCTATTACCTTTGACGGGAGGTGGCGCTGATGCCAAATGTTGTAGGGGAGTCGAGTTAGGTGAGTGGTATGACCAGACAGTAGGAAGCCCAGGAGAGGAGGCCCTTTGAATCTACCAAGGTCTGGCATTTTTAGTAGAATTTTAGGCTTCAGGTGGAGGATAGAGGGCTCTGGCCTCTCCATCTCGGGTTCTCTTACGTTGTATCACCTTCCTTTCTGAAAGACTTCCTTGTGGTCTGGCTGCCATCTGGTGGCCCTGTGGTTCCTGATTTAGCAAGGAATTTCAGTACTACAGAAAAGAGGAGAGACACAGCTTTCTTTTGTTCTGATCATTGTCTTCATGTTTGTTTGTGGATCTGTGGTTGTTATATTCTCTCCTCTTTGAGTCTCACTTTCTATGTTCCCAGTCTGGAACTCGCTATGTAGATCAGGCTGAATTCGAACTCACAGTTATCTGCCTGCCTCTGCCTCCTCTGATGTGTTTGAGGGGGAGGGGGAGCCACAGCCAGCCTCCTTCATGTATGTTTCCTTTCAGTTAGCTGCGGGCTTTGGGATACTAACAGGTTCTGGCCCTACACATAAAGATTTTAAGCAAATGGAAAGCAAGGGAGCCTCCGGTTGCTGCTGATACAATGATGAAAGCAGGCAAAATTGAGCATTTGAGGGCCTCATGGTTGAGTACTAGGCAGTGGTTACAAGTGCCTTTGGAAGATGCTATGAACAGAGGACAATTTGCGCAAAGATGCTAAAGCAAGGAAAAGAGAATATCAACAATAGCCCAACACTCAGGAGGCTGAGACAGGAGGTTTGTCATGAGGTAGTCGACACCTGGCCCACATAGTTTCAGGCTAGCCTGGGCTACATACAGTCGAGACCCAGTCTCTGAGAGTTGCTTGAAAGACCTCAAGGGTTTAGATTTCCTGAGGTACATGGAAGAGTTACTGAGGGAGAGACAAAAGCATCAGATATGGGGGCATTGGCAGGCTAAATTTCCAGTTGCTTTCTTTGTCATTTTCTGATTTATTTCTAGAATTTCAGTTAACAAGTCTTCAGGCTAAGGATACAGGTCCACATAGAGAATTGGCCCCAGCCTCAGATTCATGAGTCTCTCCCACACAAAGGAAACAAGTCTAAATTGATGCTGAAGAGATGCCTCCACTCATGCAGAGGACCCCTGTTCAGTTCCCAGCACCCACGTCAGATGGCTTGAAATAGCCTGTAACTCCAGTTCTTGGGGGATTTGATGTCTCTGGATTCTGAAGGCACCTGCACATGCCGACCCCCCTCAGATACATATCATTAAAAAATAAAATCAGTAAAAGTTGTCTCTTATTTGGTTGTTTTTTGGTTCATAACACAAACCTGTTTGCTTAATTTAAAAAATGCTGAGAATCTTTTTATAGTCCTTCTTTTATCTCAAACATTCACTAGAATGGTGTTTGTTTTTGAGAAGGCTGATGAGATGACTCAGGCAATAACTCAGGCACTCGATTCCAAGACTGACAACCTAAGTTTGATCCCTGGAACCTATGTGGTGGAAGGAGAAAATCACACACACGCGCGCGCACACACACACACACACACACACACCACCACCACCACCACCACCACCACCACCACCAATGATAATTAATAAAATAAACACCCTTCTATTCAATGAATTAGAGTATCTGACAGAGGCACCAGTCACACCTAACATAGTTTGTCACATACGAGGTGTTTAAACAGGGATACAGTGGAATGAAAAGGTCTCTTTTTAAAAGGGTGATAGAGACAGCCTCCCTGACAATGTGACATTTAAGCCAAGATTTAAAAGGGACAAGAGACCCAACCCATTTGCCTGGGAAAGCACATCCCAGGTAGAGGGCATAAGACATGCAAAATCACAGATGGTATGTTATAGGAACTTCGAAGGTATTGAACTAGTTCAAGAAAATCTCTACCCAGTGTTGAAATCCATTGGGCTTCATTCAAAGTGGGCTATCATCACCAAGGGGTCATTAGGTAAGAGAAACCTTAATAAATAGGAAAAGAAGATGAGCCCACTGTTCCTAGAAAAGCTTAGGATTCAGATTAAAAAATACTTGAGATTAATCATAAAAGAGTTTAGGAGTCAGGCGATGGGGGCGCATGCCTTTAATCCCAGCACTTGGGAGGCAGAGGCAGGCGGATCTCTGTGAGTTCAAGACCAGTCTGGTCTACAAGAACTAGTTCCAAGACAGCCTCCAAAGCCACAGAGAAACTCTGTCTCGAATGCCCCCCCAAAAAAGAGCCTTTAGGATAAGGGATGCTAAAATTATACTTTGTAGCTACCCACTGAGTAGACAGACTGAAAAAAAAAATGAGAAAAATGGCGGCCCAAAGGTCTGTGTAAAAAGGGTCAAGGAAAAATGCAAGCAGAAAGCTTAGATACTGTTGACAACCATAAATCAAATTAATGAGGGTAGGCAAAGCTCCAGAAAGTCAAGGTCCAAATCACCAAACAGAGAAACCTCAAGGGAATAATACAGAAGAGAGACTCCAGGAAGAAAGAAGAAATCCACTGTTATAAGTGGAGTGACAGGGCATTCCAAGAGGCAACGTCCTAATACCCCTCTTCTCAGTGAGAGTTAAAATGCATTAGTAAATGTCCTTCTCATCTAAAATTGCAATTAAAGAGTTAGCATTTAGACAGTTTTGGGGCTCTGTATGTGCTTTCTTTTCTGCCATTTCTTGTTTGCAAGGTCATATTCCCTAACATTAAGGTCATTTAGATAATATGTCAAGGCTTTTGCTAGAATGTAAAGTATTTTTTTTTCTAGCCAGAGGGAGAAAGAAAAGTTATAAAAATTGGAGCAAAGAAAAGACTTGCTTAAGACTTTCAAAGAAAAAAATTTAGTGGCTAAAAGTACGTGTACAGCAGGGTGGTGATGGTGCACACCTTTAATACCAGCGCTAAGGAGGCAGAAGCAGGTAGGTCTCTGTGAGTTCGAGGCCAGCCTGATGTACAGAACAAGTTCCAGGACAGCCAAGGCTGAGAAACCTTGTCCCCGAAAAACCAAAAAACCAAAAACCAAACAAACAAAAAACTGTGTGTACAGGTAATCTTAATTTGTTACAAGGTGTTGTGTATGTTATTTGGATTTGATTGTTATTTAGAGAAGTAAAATAAACAAACAGTAAGTGGGTAAGAGAGAATTGTTGGAAATGATCTAAGTATAAGGTCATATTTTCATTAAAAGGGTAAAAAAGAAAAGGGAGTATTTTGGATAAGGGTGGATTTTTTATGATTAAAAAAGATTTTAAGAATGAAAAATAAGCAATGGAGCCAAGTAATGAAAACATGAAGCCAAGTCACAAGGAGGGATGATTAAAGTTTATTAAACTTTCTCAGATTGGACTGGAGAGAAGGCTCAGCTATTAAGGGCACTTGCTGCCCTTATAGAGGACCTGGGTTTGATTTCTATCACCCACATGGTGGCTCACAGCCATCTACAACTCTGCAGACATGAAGCATGCTCATGGTGTACCTACATACATACACGCAAAAACACGTAAACACACAAAGTAAAATAAATAAGCCTTTAAAAATCCCCAAGGTTATACTGTAGTTGGAATTTTCTTTGGGCCATCAACCAGCTTTCAGATAAAGACATGGGGACTTATTATTAATTATGAATGCTTAGCCTTAGCTTAGGCCTTTC